GATGATCTTTGTTTACAAGAAATTGTGCACTTATATATAATAATATATGACGATGATGCAGCTATAAAGCGCATAATTTAAGAACAATATATTTATTAAGCATTTTTTATTTTTGATGAATTTTATAAAAATGGCTGAAAAGAAATCCGGAATATGGGCGTTTTTTGACGTTAAAACAAACGATAAATCCAAGGCAGTTTGTAAGGAATGCAATGCAGTATTGTCGCGGGGTAAGCCTGATAACCCCAAAAGTTTCTCAACGTCTTCTTTGATTACTTATCTAAGGTCAAAGCATCCACTTCAGTATGATAATATGAACAGTTTAAAGTCTTCGATTGCAGTAGCCGTAGGATGCGAAGATGCCACCTCAAATGACAGTGATGCGAGTTTGCTAGGAAATGTATCAATCCAGCCCACCCAGCCAAAGATTAAAGAAGCATTTGACAAACAAAAACCTTGGGATATAAACAATGACAATGCTAAGCGTATCCATGTGGCGATTGCTAAAATGATAACGATAGATATGGAGCCTTACCAGACCGTCGAAAAATAAGGATTTATCAATTTGGTGAAAACCTTGGAGAGAAGGTACAGCATGCCTTCTCGAAAGTATTTCACCGAACGTGTAATTCCTGATCTTTTTGAAAAAGCATCTTCATCACTGAAGGAGAAGGTAGCTGGAGCATTGAGCCTTGCGTTTACAACAGATACATGGACAGCAGACATAACAACGGAGTCATATTTGGGATTGACAGCCCATTGGTTAACTCCTACGTTCGAACGCCAAAGTTATGTTTTGCAGTGTGTAAAATATTCAGGTCAACACACAGCAGCAAATCTACTGTCAGCGTTTGATAGGTCACTCGAAAATTGGAACATTCCACGAAACAAATGTCATTTAGTTTTGCGAGACAATGCGGCAAATATTACCAAATGTTTCCGAGATGGAAACATTAAAAGTGCACCTTGTTTTGCCTACACGGTTCAACTTTGTATCAACGATGGTATATTAAGTCAACGTGGTGTTAGTGATCTCCTGAAAGTTGGACATAAATTAGTAGGCCATTTCAAACACTCGTCATCGGCCACGGATCGTTTGCACAATTTGCAAGCGGATTTAAACCTGCCAAAACACCAGTTAATTCAGGACATCCCCACAAGGTGGAATTCAACATTCTTCATGGTGCAGCGACTGTTAGAGCAACGTCGAGCAATAACATTGTACTGTGCTGAAAATGAATCTGTTACTAATTTGTCACCAAATCAATGGTCTGTTGCTGAAACTGTTGCTGCGGTTTTGGAACCATTTGAGGAGGTTACCAGAGAAGTTAGCTCATCATCAGCATCTATATCTTTGGTTATTCCAATGGTGTATCTTTTGGTATTAGTTTTGGAAAAAGAAAGTCGGGATGCTGTCATTAAAACAATGAAGGCCACACTGCTGAATGCTATCAACACCAGGTTCCAAAACATTATAAATGACCGAGTTTACAGTGTAGCCACAATGCTTGATCCAAAGTTTAAGACCCGCTTCTTGAACGATACAGCTTGTACCGAAGCGAAGGCAGGAGTTGTGCTTGCTGCCACTAAATTGTTACCTCAATAAAAAACAATCAATACTTTATGCTTTATGTTATTTTTTGGTGTTCAACATGTAGATAACCGTAAATGTGAGTATTTTTTCTAACGTATGTAAAATAGTAACTAAAATCCGGCCCCGGCCGGTTTTTGAATTTTAAATCCGGCCAAGTCCGGCCCCGGCCGGATTTGAAAAACCTAAATCCGGTGCATCCCTAATATATATATATATTTATGATGGTAATAGACCATAATTTTTACAATATTCAATAAATTCTACCGAATGTTTGGCGTTAATATGTTTGTAGTTCGTTTTTTCAATTTTTTCATGCTGTAAATAAGGCCATATTTCGATTCCGAATGAATCATCATAAGTGCTTTCTGCTGTTTATATAGGGAAATATTGACTTTGTCAAAATGAATTTAGATGGAGATTGACTTTAATTGCCTCTTTGACGGCTGTGCACGTCAACATGACTCATATATCGGGATTGCTACTACCTCATTGACTAGAAGGCTTACGATGCATAAACAGAGTGGTGCTATCAAATCTCATTTGGACTCAACACACTCAATCACTATTAGCCGTGAAATCCTCGACAGTAACACCAAAGTAATATACCAAAACAGCAACTACACGCATCTTAAAATTGCAGAAGCAGTCCTAATTGACATCAATAAACCAAAAATAAATATACAACAAAAAATGACAACCTCACTTCCAACCCGGCGCTTAACCAACAACGAAAACAAAGAAGTAATAAAAACTAACATTGTAAATAGTGACAAAAAAGAATATAATGCTATCGATGAAAAAAAGGAGACCAAAGAAGATGACCAGCCAATAAAGAAACCTGACACCTAATTTCCATCTATATTCACTTTGACAAAGTCAATCTCCATCTAAATTAATTTTGACAAAGTCAATATTTCCCTATATAAACAGCAGAAAGCACTGATGATGATTCATTCGGAATGGAAATATGGCCTTATATGCAGGATGAATTCGGAAAATAAGTTTATTTTGAATTTTAATAAACTAAACGTTCACCAAAAAACTTTAGTGAGAAAAATTGAAAAAACGAACTACAAATATATTAACGCCAAACATTCGGTAGAATTTATAGAATATTGTAAAAATATATATATATATATATATATATATATATTTATTTATTTATATATATATATTATATATATATATATATTAGGGATGCACCGAAGTTTGGCCCCGGCTCCGGCCAAAATCCGGCTTTTTTATCCGGATTTATGGCCGGATTTAAGCGTCTATCGACATTTAAAAATGTTATAAGTAGAAAAAAAATTTCATTGAATTCAATTAATTTTATGTCAATAAGTTAAAAGCTAAGCATACATGACACATAATAACAACATCACTAATTGTGAAATGAGCTGGACAATTTTCTTTGTGCTATAACATGGGTTATGCATAAATTATGAGCTGATCTTTGTGTAAAAGAACTTGTGCACGTGTATATACTATATAATTGTATATGACGGATCATATAGCTACATATTATTATTATTACGGAAATTTATATACAGCGCTTTTTTATTGTTGAATCTCAAAAGCGCTACTAAATCATAGACAAATAAGACGGACATTCATTGTGCAAATAAATAAGTTTTAAGTTGACTTCGAAATTGTAAATATGATAGGTTAGGGTCACGTAAGTATGGAGGTAAACCATTCCAAACAATCGGGCCAAGAACCGCAAAGTTGCGGGAACCCGTCACCAACTTTGTGGTCGGGATAAAAAATAAATTGCGCTCGGTTGATCGGAAGGAATATTTTGAAAAATGAGATTTGTATGATTCCAATCTATCGATGAGGGAGGGAGGTGCTGTGTTATTGACACATTTAAACATCAAAACTGCCAACTTGAAGGAAGCACGTTTTTCAACCCTCAACCAGTGCAACCTATTCAAAATAGGCGTAACATGATCGAACCACGAACCACCCAAAACTAGCTTGGCCGCACGATTCTGTATTGACTGAAGCTTTGAAAAAGACCTTTTGGTGACACCATAAAAAAGGCCATTGCAGTAGTCTAGTCTGGAAAAGACGAAAGAGGAAACCAAGCTTTGAAGAACAGACGTGTTTAGTGATTTTTTGACATTGCGTAATAAACGGAGTTGGTTGGAGCAGACCCTCACTAAATTATAAATATGTAAATCCATCTTTAAGTTTGAGTCAATAATAACTCCAAGACTACGGACAGATGTGGAAAATTCAATGATGTCATTGCCGACACTGATCGATGAAATTTTGACCTTCGACAGCTGCTGCCAAGAACCAACCGGTAATATTTGTGTTTTAGATTGATTTAACTTTAACTGATTCATACTCATCCAAGATCCAATTTCGATAAGACAGTCAGTCAGTTCATTCAGAAAAGCATCAATCGAATCAACAGGACAAGAAACCAATAACTGAATATCATCAGCAAAGGCGTGGGAGCTGAACTCATATTTTTGAATGATATCAAAAACATCAGCAGTGTACATAAGAAACAACAGAGGTCCCAACACAGATCCCTGGGGGACACCAAACGATAGTTTGTTTATGTCAGAGAGGGTGTTGTTGTAAGAAACCTGCTGGGTGCGGCCTAAAAGATAGGAAGCGAACCACGATAAGACTGAATCAGAGAGAAAAAAATTTGTGGAGAGTTTATATATAAGGCGAGTATGATCGACACAATCAAATGCAGCACTCATATCAAGTAATGCTAAAAAAGAAACGCATTGACTGTCAACTGAAGAGAACAACTGGGAGAAAATATCAATGAGTGCAGTTTCTGTGGAAAAATATTGACGATAGCCGGATTAATTCTTTGGCAACAAATTGTTTTTGTTTAAATGCTGTAACAATTGTTTGATAACAACTCGTTCAATGACTTTAGAAATGAATGAAAGATTAGAGATAGGACGGTAATTTGATAAAACGTTGTCGTCCAAATTTGATTTTTTTAGAAGTGGGGTTACAATAGCATGTTTCAAAGGGTTGGGAAAACTGCCAGTTGATAAACATTGGTTGACAAAAAATGTCAAAAATGGCAAAAAAAGATCTATAAATTTTTTAAATATGTATGTTGGAATCAGATCAAGAGAACAAGAACTGCCAGGGGAGTCACAAACTATTTTACGCAATTCATCTGGCGTGCACATTTGAAAATTTGAAAGATTAACAATTGCTTCAGGAGAGACGACCCTAGAGACATACAAACTGGATTGGTTTGTTAGTATTTTCTATAGTCGTGCTACGAATATTATTGATTTTATTCACAAAAAATGTCATAAAATCATTGGGGGAGAAATCATTTGAATGGTTATTATTGTGATTTATAGATAAAATTTTGTCGAGGATATTCCACAATTTTTTTGGTTGTTTTTTAAACGAATCAACTTGATTTGACCAAAATTTGTGTCTTTTTTGGGAAAATTGTTGTATTTGTTCTTTTAACGCTAAGCGCCATGCATTTCGATTAATATCATTTTTCATTTTCCTATACAATCGTTCCAGTTTTCGACAATTGCGTTTTAATGAACGACATTCAGAGTCAAACCAAGGGGCAAATAGTACATGAGTAGATTTGACATAACGACAAGGAGCAACCATATCCACAATTCTCACGATTTCAGAATTAAACAAATCCAACAGGGTATCAGCGGAAGATGAATTGAACGGCCCTGAAATAGGTGATTCGAAAACTAGTGAAGAAAATTGATTTTCGTCAATTTGATTTCATGAACGAGTAAGTTTCCATTTTTTCTGAGGTGTGGGAACAGAAATAGGGAAACAAATTTTAATTAAACTGTGGTCTGAATACACATTTGGTGGCTCAACGGAAAAAAATTGTGAGGGAAGGTCAGAACTAGAGGCAATTAAATCCAATGTTCCACCATGAACGTGGGTTGGTTCATTTATTCTATTTATCAATTGATATAAATCAAAAATTTCAAACAATTTCAATGCATTAGGGTCGTTCAAAAGTTCAACATGAATATTCACATCTCCAATAAAAATAACATAATTTGCTAAAAGCAATATTTGATCAAAAACAGATGATAACTCATCAAAAAACAATGGTGATGGAATAGAAGACCCAGGACGATAAATTGCAAAAACAACAATAATTACTTTGTTGAAATAAAATTTCACAACTATAGCCTCAAACGCCTTAAATAAAGGCAGCGGAATTCTATAAAATTTAAAATAATTTTTAAAAAATACAATTATTCCACCATGGTTAGGGTCGGTCGGCCTCAGAAAATCTATGAACACAAAATCAGGTGGCAGAGTGAGTCTAAGTGATAAATTATCGGACGACCCATGCCAGGATTCCATAACAACAAAAATATCAAAATTATTAGAAAATAAATTGCGAACAGTTTTGATCTTATTCATAATTGACCTAATGTTCAACAAACCTAATTGCAATTTTAGTTCTGAGTCTTTTTTGGTAACTTCACGATCATTACTACCATTTTTATCGTTACCATTACAACCATCATCACAATCGCAAATACCACCATCATTACCACTGCCGCTATCGTTACCTCCACAACCATTTCCGCCACCGCAAATACCACCATCATTACCACCACCGTTAACATTACCACCACAACCATCTCCACCACTGCAAATACCACAACCACAACTATCATAATCACCACAGCTGAACAAACTTCCACCACCAGCATCATCAGCAATACCTTCACCAGAAATCACTTCACCGGATGCTCTCTGAGTTTGACGATCCGCCACCTTCCCACCGTTCCCCTCACCTTGAATAAAAAACCCGGGCACGAGATTTTTCTTGATTTGGCTTCATCAATTAGTTTTTTTAACTCGGCACGCTGATCAACTGTTAAATCATGACTGATCCATACTTTATCGAGATCTTCATGCATAGTTTTTAATTTAAAGGAATTTTTTAAGACTAAATCTTTAATTGCACAACTCCTCATTTCAATCAGCACCGGTCTAATTTTAGTTTCAGCTTTTGGACCCAGTCTAACAATTCTTTTAATATCCTGATCCTTGACTTCACTGGATAACTTTTTAATAATTCCTTTGACTCTATCTTTATCATCATCAGTTTCTTGCAAATTGAACATCATTATGTTATTCTCTCTTTCTTTCATGTCATTTACATTGGTTAAAGTTTTTTGAACACTTTTTACCTCATCATTAACTAGTTCAATATTTTTCTTCACTTCGCATCGGACAGCATCAGCAAAACTCTTGTTCAAATCGTTTTTAAGGTTACACAGCTCGGTACTCAAAACTGTGCCATCGAATCTTTCCGCCCCATCAACATTTCTCTGAATTAAACTTTTGATAGCTTCAAGTTCGCTCCTCAACAAATTGTTCGATTCATCAATTTTGTCAATTCTAGTGTTGAGCGTATCATTGCTATCACGCACAGCTTTATTTAATGACTTTACATCAGGAAGTAGTTTCATGCATTCATCACAATACCACTTAATATTGGACACGGAACTGATAACCTTGAAAGCTGATTTACTTATTCCGACACAGTCTTGGTGAAAAGCAAGTTGACATTGAAAGCACTGAATTGCGTCTTTATCTTCCATATTTCTAGCAAATTGACATCCTTTGATCGACATAATTATTTCAAAAAGAATGTTTGCAAGTCAACTTATAAAATTATATTTCAAATGTCTTTAGAAAGTTAGCAGTCCGCAAGAATAAACACACAAGAAAAAACAAAAAATAAAAAACAGCAAAACACTTCAACTTTCAAAACAGTGCAACTTCTATAAACTATCCTTTATTGTTTACAGCTTAAACTTTATTACCGCGAATTCAAAATTTAAACCAAAAAATAGTGAAAAATAAAACAAAATTAAATTGCAAACAACCAACTGAACAAAATTTATATCCTCTTATTCTTCTAAATTTATGCTATAAAACGAAATCAAAATTAAGTCGAACACTCTATAATATCCTATGAAACTTTAGAAAAATACGGAGAAAATAGAAAATACTGTTGCTGAGTCAAAAGCCAAGACATATATATATATATAAAGATACATAATCGCGTAATTTAAGAACATGGTATGTTAAAGGTTAGGCTAGGCATACATGACACATAATAACAACATCACAAATTGTGAGGTGAGCTGGACAGTTTTCTTTGAGCTATAACATGGGTTATGCATACATTATAAGCTGATCTTTGTGTAAAAGAATTTGTGCACGTGCATACATGACACATAATAACAACATCACTAATTATGAAATGAGCTGGACAATTTTCTTTATGCTATAACATGGGTTATGCATAAATTATAAGCTGATCTTTGTGTACAGAATTTGGCGTATCACACAGCTTATTCATATATTTGAATTAATTAACTATTTGAATGAGAAGAATCGAAAAAACGAACTACAAACATATTAACGCCAACCATTCGGTAGAATTTATAGAATATTTTAAATATATATATATATATATTTTTAATATATATATAAATATATATATATATGCAATTATTGATGAATATATATATATGTATATATATATATGTATGTATATATATATATATTTATATATGTATATATACGCAATTATTGATGAAAATCACAGCATGTTCGACTTTCAATTTAACTTTTCTATTTTTCTAATAGGCACAGTATAAAAATATTTGATCATCTGGGCACAACCACAACATATCAACTTGAACACCGAAGATGGTATAGGAATACCGTGAAAAGTTTTTCTGTTCTATCATGCATAAAACAAAAAAAATTTGGTTTTGAACTAAAGAAACTTGAAAATGACTCACGATCAACCGTTAGAAAAATAGATAAGTTAAATTGGAAGTTAACTAACGCCGAACATGCTGTGATTTTCATAAATAATTGCCTTTCTGACACATAAAAACAACATCATTAATTGTGAAATGAGCTGGACATTTTCTTTATGCTATATATAACATGGGTTTGCATAAATTATAAGCTGATCTTTGTGTAAAAGAACTTGTGCACGTGTATATACTATATAATTGTATATGACGAATCATATGGCTATATTATATATATTATTATTTATTATTATTATTAAGAAACATTTATTAAACGCTAATTAAACAATTTCAAAAGCGTTCTCTCAAAAACAAAACAAATGTTATATGTGACTGTTCATGAAACGAAAATCAAAGTAACAAATTTTACAATTTCACAGAAAATAAAAATGTCTTTAGTTCTTTTTTAAATAAATCCAGAGAAGTTCCCGATCTTCTTAACATTGGTGGAAGGTTATTCCAAACAGAGGGACCAGCCACGGCAATGTCCCTAGAACCAATTTGCAAACGCGTGACTGGCACCCTTAGCAGATTCAAATCATCCGACCTGAGATAGGAAGATGATGCTGTTTGTTTTCTGGTAAATTTATTTTTCATGTATTCAGGTGACATGTCATTTATAGACTTGAACATGAGAACTGCAATTTTAAAGACTATCCTTTTGTTAATTGTCAACCAGTGTAGTTCATTCAAAATCGGTGTCACGTGATCATACTTCAAACCACCAGCAACGAGTTTTGCAGCTCTGTTCTGCACCAACTAAAGGACGGCAACTGATGATTCCGGCAATTTTTAGAACAAACTGTTGCAGTAGTCCAAACGAGATGTGATGAAGGCGTGGACCAACGTTTCCAAAGTAGGTCTATCCAACGAATGTCGAATTTTATACATGCTTCTAAGGTGGATAAGACTTGATGTACAGATCTTTTTGATGTGATTTTTTATTGATAACTTGTTGTCAGGCAAAACACCCAGGTTGGAAGCAGTATCAGCTAATGGTATATCAACATCTCCTATTTTAACAGAACTAAAATCAATTTTCAGCAATTGCTGCCACGTTCCAACCGAAAGTAATTGAGTTTTGCATTCGTTTGGTTTTAACGAGTTTGATGACATCCAACGTCCTACCTCTGATAAACATCCGATAAATCTCTCAACTTCAGTTTTGAACAAACAAGGAGAACTAGTAACCAGCACCTGAATATCATCTGCAAATGCATGGCACACATATCCGTAGGAGCTGATTATTTTGGTAATTTCCGACGTGTACAGGAGAAAAAGAACGGGTCCCAAAACTGAGCCTTGAGGTACCCCTAACGTTATGATGGAAACCTCTGATACTGAGTCATTAAATGAAACCTGTTGTGTCCGATTTGATAAGTATGATTCAAACCATCTATATACATTATTCTTTACCCCGTAATTTTGACGCAGTTGCCAGAAGAACATCATGGTTGACGCAGTCAAACGCTGCCGACATATCCAAAAACGATAGTAATGATATTCTCTGAGCATCTGCAGCGGCGAATAAACTTGATAGGACATTCAATAATGCAGTTTTGGTTGAATGAAACTTCCTATATTCTGATTAATTGAGAGGCATTAAATTGTTTTCTGTTAGATGATTCAACAAAAACTTGAGAACAACGCGCTCCATGATCTTTGAGATAAACAGAAGGTTGGATATCGGCCTGTAGCTTGCAACATCGTTGACATCACCATTGGCTTTTTTTAAAATCGGGACAACCGTAGCATGTTTGAACCCAGCAGGAAATTTACCCAACCTCAGGCAGAGATTGAAAAAACTTGTAAGAAAGCAGATAAACAAGTGTATATATTTCTTAAAAATATGCGTCGGAAAAATATCTTGTGAACTTGTTTTTGAAAGAGAATTCATTATGATGCCTTTAAGTTCGGTTTCTGTTATTTCTGGAAAATCTGCAAATGAAACAAGATTTGTAACAAGACTGTGATGTGCTGACGGAACCAAAACGTTGGTAGACATTATAATCTTGTTGATCTTGTCTGTGAAAAACTGCATGAATTGAGAAGCTTTTAGTTAGTTTATTTCTTTCTGACAAAGAAACCAACCAGTCATTTCGATGATCAGTCGTCGAGTGATTTCTATATGACCTCTCCATCCGCCTGCAAGTTAATTTAGACCGTCGACAATCATCATCAAACCAAGGTGCCATACTCTCTCCTCTGTCATAAATCAAACGCCAAGGCACAAGTCTGTCGACAATTTTTTTAACTCGTCGATAAACATTTTTAATTCAATCTCGACATCGCTACTCTGACAAGGCCCAGAGATTGGAGAATCCAAAACAGCCCTAGCCAGTTGATTTCCGTCCAGACTTTTCCATGACCTGACATGTCTCGCAGTTATTTTACGAAATGTCTGAATCAATGTTTCAACTGTTATTAAATTGTGGTCAGTCATCACTCCGCTTGGAAATATTTTTATGTTGGTAACAGGAAAGTCACAAGAACTGATTACCAAATCCAAAGTACCACCCAACACATATGTTAGTTCGTTAATGTGGTTGACTAACTGGAAGGTTTCAAATATCTCACCCAATCGGATGGAATATGGATCATCAGTTCTTTCGAGATGTACATTAAAATCTTCCATGAGCAAAACGTTAGAACCCAAGACTGTAATCTGCTCTAAAACTGAAACCAGTTCTTGAAAAAATAAAACAGACAGTTGTGCTGAGCCAGGTCGATATATAGCAATCAGAATGAATGTACTTCCGTTGACCAAAATTGGATAGCAACCGCTTCAAGTGTAGTAAGTTGTGGAAGAATTATAAATCCAACCATATATATATATAATATATATATATATATATATATATATATATATATATTTCATTAAACGCGATGCTTATATTATTGTTATTTAATTTTTTATTAAGATTTTCTATTTTTCTTATTAGTTTTTTATAATTATAATTTAAATTAAAAATTAGAACACCAATATTCATTATATAATTATTTATTAAGCGACGTTTCGAATTTTATAATTCATCTTCAGGCAATTTAATATAATTCAAATAAACATAACAATAAACTGTCAGATGACGTAATAAGAGTTGAGCGCGAAAGTAACGTAACGATTAAAGTTAAATAACGTAAGTAGTTAAATTAAGTATAACAAACAATTATTTTGTAATATAACATAATAAAATATATTATATGTGCAATATTATGTTAATAATAATAATAATAAATTAAACATTTCGTGATGAAGGTAAAATAAAATTGGAATAAATTTGTTTGTTCAAATTAGGTTTATAAATATTAATAAATAGGGATTCTAAAATTTGTAGTCTGTTAAAATTAGTGTCTTTCATTAATATTTTAGTATTATCTTCTAATATTTTGCGGGATAATTGCTGGTTGTGGCAGTCATGGTAGTGTTGATTTGGAGCTCCGATGTTCAAATGGCAGGTTAAACGGCGTGTCAGTTTTGTGGTAGACATTCCAATATAAGAAGATGGACGAAGCCTACAGTCTTCGTGAGGACATAGAAATTGGTAGATGACGTGGGAGTGCTGTGTTGTTGCTAGTTTAACGTTGGGACTATTTTTTATTAATAGTTGTTGCGACTTAAAATTTTTATAATAAATAAGAAGGTTTATTTTTTCATTAGAATCAACTGGATGGACTCCTTTTTTAATGATTTTTCTAATTATATATTCGTCTTCTTTATACGAGGAGCTCATTAAGTTACGATAAAATAAAGTTAATTTTGCACTGTCGGTATTGTTGTTTGAGTTGTTGTTATTGTTATG